TGGTAGAGCATCCAGGAAAAAGAGATCTTGGTTTGTGCGTTTCTGGATATAGAAGATGCGTTCAACAACGCAATACCACAATCTCTTGAAAGAGCTGCTCTTGACAAGGGAGTGGAAGAAACTATAGCGGGTTGGATCCGCAATATGCTTGATAGTAGAATAGTATCTAGTTCACTCCACGGTGACACGATACGCTTTAGCCGCCGGGAGGTGGCTGTCCGCAGAGAGGGGTGTTATATCCCCTGCTATGATCCATTCTGGTTGATGACCTGAATGCGATAGTCGAAGCCGTTGGTGTAGAAATACAAGCGTATGCTGATGACGTTGTCGTTATGGCCAAAAGAACCTGTTTGTCAAGGAAATCAAAATACCTCCAGGTGGCTTTAGATACCATTAGCGCTTGCTGTAAGGGAGAGAATCTCTCGATAAACCCGCAAAAGATCACATACGTAGCAGCAGCATGGTATAGGAAAGTCCGACAGACTTCAGTTATCTGTAAACTTTCACGAATTCAACGAGTAGCTGATTGGTAATCTCTGGTGCGATAAGCACAACGCCAACTCTAGCAATGAATGTTCTGCTTGGCTTATCTACTTTGTTTTTGCATATAGAGAAAATGGCTAGAACTACCATTTACAGATTTAAAACTGCTCAAAACCGTTCCGACATGTCCTACCAATGGGGTGCGGAAGACATTATACCACTGANCAACACCAACTCTAGCAATGAATGTTCTGCTTGGCTTATCTACTTTGTTTTTGCATATAGAGAAAATGGCTAGAACTACCATTTACAGATTTAAAACTGCTCAAAACTGTTCTGACATGTCCTACCAATGGACTGCGGAAGACATTATAGCACTGATAATGTGAATTCAATGCCGTCAGATTTGGTGGGATCACTATCAGATTAATGCTCGATACCCGATTGTACTGCCTGAACGATAGTCCTGGATCGAAAATGAAAATTCTCCGCATCAGGCAGATATTGACATGTTCACAGATGGATCAAAAACGATGAGAACTTTAAACACACTTAGTTGTGATAACAGAGTTCCTCTGATCTGGGTCCCAGGTCACTCTGGGGTTGCTGGCAATGAAGCGGCAGATGAGCTAGCATGAGAGGGCAGCGCTAAAGCGTTTGTGGGACCAGAGCCAGCAGTTGATCTATCATTTGCGTTGGCCAAACATAGGATTGGACCGTGGGCTGAAGAGAGACTTTGTTTACTGTGGACCAGTTCTTCCGGAATAAGACATGCTGAGTTGTTTATTAACATCGCCACTGTCAAACCCGTGAATATTTTAAGACTTCCTGGATGTGTACGTCATACATGGATAAGGACATGACTATCATAAAACATATCAAAAGAAGGGAATCAAATACCGCATATTTTAATCAGAGTAATGCCAAACATTACAGGTATATATGTACTATATAGTTATCTTACTATCTCACTNAACGCCAACTCTAGCAATGAATGTTCTGCTTGGCTTATCTACTTTGTTTTTGCATATAGAGAAAATGGCTAGAACTACCATTTACAGATTTAAAACTGCTCAAAACCGTTCCGACATGTCCTACCAATGGGGTGCGGAAGACATTATACCACTGATAATGTGCATTCAATGCCGTCAGATTTGGCGAGATCACTATCAGTGATTAATGCTCGATACCAGATTGTACTGCCTGAACGACAGTCCTGGATCGAAAATGAAAATTCTCTGCATCAGGCAGATATTGGCATGTTCACAGATGGATCAAAAACGATGAGAACTTTAAACACACTGAGTTGTGATAACAGAGTTCCTCTGATCTGGGTCCCAGGTCACTCTGGGGTTGCTGACAATGAAGCGGCAGATGAGCTAGCATGAGAGGGCAGCGCTAAAGCGTTTGTGGGGCCAGAGCCAGCAGTTGATCTATCATTTGCGTTGGCCAAACATAGGATTGGACAGTGGGCTGAGGAGAGACTTTGTTTACTGTGGACCAGTTCTCCTGGAATAAGACATGCTGAGTTGTTTATTAACATCGCCACTGTCAAACCCGTGAATATTTTAGGACTTGCTCGTAGCACTATTAAAGTTTTAATGGGTGTCTTTACTGGGCACTGCTGATTAAAGACACACTAGTCGACGATGTTGAATGTCGACTATATGCGGAAGACGAGGTGACGGTTGAGCATGTGCGGAGGACGAGGTGACGGTTGAGCATGTTTTATGCCACTGCCTTGCTGTTAATCGTATCAGATTGTCGATTTTTGGGTCGCAGTTTATCTCCCCAAACGATCTGAATAACTTTTCACCGAGCAAGGTATTAATGTTGCTTAAGAGCATTGGAATGCACGGTGAAATTTGATAACGTAATTTGATATCGGGGTACAATAGATCCATAGGGTCGCGGTGCAAGGTTGGTTGGTCTGCCTACCCAATATGTAATTTATGTAAATGTAACCGTCTCAAATTCATGTTTCGAAGAACCCACATTGACGTGTCGGTCATAGAAAGTTTGTTCAAATTTTTGTATTTAAGAGTGACCATTCATAAAACAGATGGTTCCAATTTAAGGAAGTAAGCAGTTGAGATGTATGGCGGTACAAATAAAGTACTGCAGATAAATTTCTGGATGTGTACGTCATACATGGATAAGGACATGACTATCATAAAACATATCAAAAGAAGGGAATCAAATACCGCATATTTTAATCAGAGTAATGCCAAACATTACAGGTATATATGTACTATATAGTTATCTTACTATCTCACTCTAGTTATCTTACTCGCTTTATTCCAAGTTTTACTTCTCTTTTTCGCAGCAAGCTAGTTGCTTCCGTTCTAACATCCCAGACTTTTTATGTGCCTTCTTCCTTGCTGCTTTCTTCAATATATGTTAACACTGGAACAATATTAAACAACTTGCAATATACCAGGATAACGATCCAAAGCATAAAGCCCTTAATGTAAGGGTATGGTTACATTGTTTTTAATTTTGACGACAAAAGTGTTGCTCTAATCCAATCTTATTTGTCCGGTAGAACGCAACAGGTGATTTGTGGTCAAGTGACATCGGAGAAAGTCACTTTGACTAGGGGTGTTCCGCAGGGTTCTATCCTTGGACCTCTTTTATTTTTGATGTTTTTCAACGAGTTTCCGTATTATTTTAGGGACATTGACTTAGGCGTTTATTATATGTTGACGATGCCACTTTGATTATCTGAAGCAATGAAGCTGAAGAGGTCATTCAAAGATCAGAATTGGTTCTAGATAGAGCATGTAAATGGTGCATCGCGAATGAGTTGTGTTTGAATGATGGGAAAACAGTCAGAATGATTTTAAGTCAGAGAACTTTTAATTTTACTAATTTTGGTAACCCGTCGTTTGGTAAATTCTTGGGAGTTCACATAACCACTCCAATATTGAAGTTCGATCATCATGTTGACGCTATAAGTAAGAAAATTTCAGAAAACATCTTTTTGGTACGAAACCTTATTGTCAAGGTGGAACTAGAAGTAGTGAAAACCACTTACTTCGCGCTTATACAAAGCCATTTTATTTTTTAAGCCATTTTAGCGTGGGGAAACACTCCCGCTAGCAAACGGGTTTTTAACTTACAGCGTAGGGCTCTAAGAGTTGCAGGAGGCCTGGGATACAGTGAGGACTGTCGACACATCTTCGTGCGTTTAGGCGTTCTAACCCTGCCATCTATTTACATACTAAATTGTATATTGTATGCTCTGAACAATTTCGACGAGCTTTTAAATCATGCTGATGTTCACAAATACGCAACTCGTAATCGTTATAATGTGTATGTTGATATGTGTAGATTGAGTATGACGCAGCGGGGTCCAACATACATGTGTCAAAAGCTATTTAATAAGTTGCCGTTGAATGTCAGAAGTTCTCCGTTTCTTACCATGAAACGTAAACTGACACATTTCTTGGCTTCGAATGCGTTTTATTCTGTCGATGAATTTTTAAAATGTAATATTGATATTTCTTAGTAAGTAAATGTCAACCTGTAAATTGAACTGACGAGTGTAAGAGAACTATCTTATAGCAGAATAAAGATTATGATTATGAAGATTATGATGATTACAACTGCCCAAAAGTAATTAAGTAAGAATTAAATGTTTGGTTTGGTCTTGATTGTTGTGATTGATATGACTGTCAAGCTGGAGGAGAGAAATCTATTATTTTACACTGATGATAACATTGGTTTTTTTAGGCTTCCATAGGAGGCAAAATTGTTCTGTGCGTTGTCTGTTGCATTGGTTTCGGTATATTTGGTAATATTTGTTTGGAGAGAAATCGTTGTTTCTCGTTGAGTGTTATTATAACTAACCATCTCTATGAGAAAGACTTCAGCGTAATTCAAATTACGTAAATTTTTACGTAAATAATTACGTCCATTAAGATTAAATTTTGATAACTGTATACCAGTGTGTTTGATTTTAGTTGTCACAAAGAATATTTCTTGGAGATATGATAACATGTTTTAGAAGGCAAGATGCTCCACACTTAATATTCTATTATCTGCCATATCCTTAAAAATAATTGAGCATCAAATATTTTAGATGCAGCGAATACATTCATAATTTTAAATACAACGTGACCAATTTTATTATAAAACATATATATATAATATTTTTTCATCATTAGAATAATAATCACCTATTTCATGTTATTTAAGATGAAAATAACCTAAACTACGTATCAATTTACTCAATCAGTTTGGATACTGTTCTAACAGCTCACAAATAATTTCATTCACCACCTATTACAGCAGAGATGCATAGACCGCGGCCCGCGGGCCGCATGCAAAAATAATATTCTCGTACATTCGAAAAATAATAAATATTAAAGTACTTTGTTTCTTTTGATATTGTGAGCGACGTCCATAAAACTTATGAAAATCATTCAAATACCGCGCCAAGGATGAGTAATTTAAGTAGGTACTGTAATTGTTTTTAGGTGCTGTGTTAATCCTAGCCAGGATTAGAACACAACATGGACAAGCCAGGACCTAGTAAAAAACGTAAGGTTAAAGATGAAAATCGGCAGTTTCAAGAAATTTGGACTGAGAAATACTTTTTCGTATGGTCGCATAACAAAGTCGTTTGTTTAATTTGCAAGAATTCTGTTGCGATTGCAAAGGAATATAATGTAAAAAGGCACTATGAAACGCAGCATCCTACTTTTACCAAGTTTACAGGCGAATTAAGAAAGCAAAAAATGTTGTCTTTAAAACGGGAGCTTATTGGTCAGCAAGCTATGTTTATAAAACCCATTCAAGATTCAGAAACAGCTACAGAAGTTAGTTATGAAATTTCTCGAATGATAGCAAAGCGAAGTCGCCCCTTCAATGATGGGGATTTTGTAAAAGAATGCATAGAAATTGCCGCTAAGAAAATGTGTCCAGAAGCAGCAAAAAAGTTTGAGAAAATTCAACTGAATCGTATGACTATCCAAAGACGAATTATGTCTTTGTCAGGTAATATTGCGGAACAATTAACTGAAAAAACTAAGATCATTGAATTTTTTTCATTAGCACTCGACGAATCCACTGATATTAGTTCCACAGCTCAACTTCTCATATTCATACGAGGTGTTACTCAAGATTTTGAAGTCTTAGAAGAGTTATTAGGAATGTGTTCATTGAAAGGTCAAACCAAAGGAGTTGATATACTCAATGTACTTTTGGATGAGTGTTCAAAAACTGATTTGGACTTATCAAAATTATCGGGAGTTGCGACTGACGGTGCTCCTTCGATGATTGGTGTCAATTCCGGGCTAGTTACTTTGCTGAAAAAGCATCTGCAAGAAAAAAACATAAACGCTGAAGATCTCATGCAGTTTCACTGCATTATACACCAAGAAGCCCTCTGTTCTAAAAAAATTGAATTTCAAAATGTCATGAAAGTGGTAGTTTCGACTGTAAATTTCATAAAATCACGAGGACTCAATCACAGGCAATTCAAACAATTCCTTGATGACATCGAAAGCGAATATGGAGATTTACTGTATTATACAGAAGTAAGGTGGCTAAGTCGTGGATTGACACTGGAACGATTTCTAAATTTAATAGAAGAAATTGGAATATTTCTGGCGGAAAAGCAAAAGGATGTCCCGGAACTTAACAATCCTGATTGGTTGTGTGATTTGGCTTTTTTAGTTGACATTACAAATCATTTGAATGTCTTGAACACACGGCTTCAAGGCAAAAATCAACTGATATCCCAGCTCTACGCTCATGTATCATCCTTTCAAAGCAAGCTGACACTTTTCAGATCGCAATTGAATTCTGGAAATTACAATCATTTTCCGAATTATAAGAAAATGGCTAAAAAATTCAACAAAACTGCGATTAATTTCAGTTATGTAGAAAAGCTAGATATTTTGATTCAATCTTTTCAAGACAGATTTTCGGAGTTTAAAAAAGTGAAACCTCTGTTGGACATATTCAGCAATCCTTTCACGATTTCAGTTGAAAATGCGCCAGAGTCAATGCAGTTAGAAATTATCGACATTCAAAACGACCAAGATTTACGCAACAAATTCAACGAAGGAGACTTGCAGAACTTTTACCGCTGCATTGATAAAAATATGTACAAAGAGTTGCGCATAAACGCTCTGAAATGTGCCAGCTTATTTGGTTCTACCTATATATGTGAACAAACTTTTTCAATACTAAATAATAATAAAACAAAAAATCGAAACCGCCTTGCAAATGATAGTTTGGAAGCAGTTTTACGTGTTGCTACAAGTAAATTTGAGCCAAATATAAAAAAGATTGTAAGCACTATGTAGTGCCACGCTTCAAATTAATAAATTCTTTTTCAATTTTAATACATTATTATCAATTCTTTATTGTCTTTAATTACCTATACTTCTGGCGGCCCGCCATCAGTTCATGATTTGCCCGAGTGACCCCTAGTCTTAATAAGTCTGTGCATCGCTGTATTACAGTATACTTGCGATAGTGTGCACACAAAAATACAGTGAGTCGTTCATACTAAATAATTATAATACATCACATATTATCATACATAATAAATTAACTTTATTACCTAAATTAATTAATATTATCATTAACATTGATAAGATTTAAAAAAATTTGTGATTTCTTTCTGAATATGTTTTGAACAATTTTGGCCACTTTTTCTTGAATTATTTTCATGGTACTTAATGATTTCACTTATATTTATGGAATTTAGATTTGACCATTCTACAGCAACATTAAATGCTTTAATTGTGTCGTAATGGTAATTTTATTTCAATGTTCTCATCTATAGAAGACATTTCCACAACATATGCTGCCTCATCCTTGTCCAAATCTTCCACATCTGCAGCAGTGTTGTCACCCTAAAATTTGCAGTACATATATGATTATGCTATCGACTTCTAAAACCACTTATGCACTAACTTACTGGAGCTCCTTGCGACCAAAGTTTTTTCATATCTTAATTTTTCCCTTAATGTATTTAGTACAATGTTCTTCTTTGTTTGCATCCTCATTATGTTACTTTCTGAGGTAATTTCTGAGCACCTAGAAAACATCTCACGTACGAATTATGTAATATAATATTGAATATAATTAGCCGTATTAAATAAAGGGTAGATAATTTTAATTCTTTCCTTAGGTACAAAATGTTGAAAAAAACATTTCTTAATGAGTTCCCGGTCATCCACATCTTCTTAGTGCTTTTGTACAGCAATGAGTTGTTACAATTCCTAAAACACCTTGAATTTTTTGATTTCCTTATCACTAGCGCTTTCAGCTTATGTAAGTCTGAAACATTTCCACAACCCAGAAACGTTGCTTAGAAATGTTGACTTCGGGAGCAGTTTTTTTTGGGAATGAGTTTTGTCACAATACAATCGTGTCTCGGCAGCATTATAAATCTGATGCCGCTTGCATCAGAGTGTGATGCTCTTGAATAATACGTTTTAGATACGTCCATATGGTAATTTTAAGCGAATTCTTGATGCTTGCTTTTCGGATTCATTGTACTCCAATAGCGACAGTTCTGCTTATTTTCATATCCGTTAAGATGCAAATGAGCTTCATTTGTGAATAAGATGTTGGTAAACCTCTCTGATGAGTGTTCTGGGGTTTTAATTCTTGCACCAATGGAATTTTGTGGGCGTTCAGTTTCAGGTTCTTGTGGAAATGCGAGTCTTTTAGCCGTTCTTAAATAATGAACATATTGTGTTGTGACAGGTGCATATTCTTCTATTAGAAATTCGCATGCATTAATATGTCCTTTCAGTGTTTTTTACCATCAAAACTTCACTTTCGCAATTTTTCCCTCCATTGCGATTTAGTTTAGTGTTTCTAGTTACAAATTCTTCGTTTTATTTGTTTGTTGAAGTCCTGGAATTCAGTCAGCGATTGTAGCAATTTGAATTCTCGGCAGAGTACTCCTTCCTTAAAGAATATAGAAAATGTTAGCGTTAATCCTTGGTTGGTCATTTATTGTTTCTTTTTTAATCCTCGTCCAGGGATTAGTGATTTTAGCGACAATTTTTGGCTAAGGGATTGTTTGGATGCAGATTCTGTGTAATAAAAAGTTGAGCACTTACCTATTAAATTCTTATCAGGAGAGCTTCGACAGGTTTTTTTTAGATTATAGTATATAAATATTTCAATATCTTAAAAAGAACACAAAAAAGTATTTCACTTATCAGTCCATTTAACAGTCTAAAAGCTTAAGTGGTAGTACAAAACTGTTACTTTTAACAGCACCCTGTCCACATAAGAAAGAAAAGTAAGTTATCTCGTAAGATAACGTTTCCTGTTTGACATTAAGTGGGAGAAGACATTTTCTGTAAAAAACAAAACCTGATATAAAACCTTAACGAATACGTTTCTATTTCTTTGTGGCTTTAACGTAAAATAACCTTGCCATTAATAGCATCGTCGTTAAAATAAACCAAAATGTATTCTTCAACATTAATTTCGTTATTTTACGGATGGTTAATCAGCAGCGGATATCATTGATGGGCTACAAAAGATCATCAACGTTGTGGTCGCATGTTGCAACAATAATAGACCTTGACGTAACAATAAACTTTGTTATTCATATCACAGCTTATAACAATAACAATAATATTTATAAAAATGAATTTAATGTTGCATTTGGTTTATTTTAAGATTTTTTTAAATAATACGATCAATTTTATTATTAAAATATTGTAATTGTTTAAGTTAATGGGACGTGGAAAAAATAAAAAGCAAAAAAAATATGTAATCTAGATAAAATTGTGATCTATAATTTTGATACACTAATGATTACCAACAAAAACGACCGGGTTACTTTTTGGTTGACTAATATTTCCTCTCGTAGTCAACCGTAGAGTTATATCGTGTTAAAAAGTAGTTACGAGATAAATCACCATGAATTTGGTATGTTTTTTTTTTTTTTGGTTTTTTAGATTGTGTGTGAAAGCTTTGTGTTGCGCAGGTAGAAACATATTTGAAACACTTTTCTTCTTTTTTATTTCTTAATACAAATTGAGTAGTTGCTCAAATATCTTCGTGATTTGTTGGAATAACAAATAGAAATCTTTTGGCGATCGTGCGTGCAATGTAACACATAATAACTCTTCCTGTTGCTAGTTTCACAAACCAACAAATATAATTTTGTATGTATGAATAATAATTAAACGGTGATGTTGCAAAAGAAGAACTTTCGATATTGTTGTTATTGAAATTTTGTTCATTTAATGAAATTTATAAACTTTTAAATATAAAAAAATGAATGAATTAAAATAATATTTTCCAAAGAAGGCTAATAAACGAAAAATTAAAAACAAATTGTTAACAATTAGTTTAAATTTTAACATCGATTACATGACCAAAACGAAACTGATCGGGTGTCTGTAATAAGTTGGAGGAAATGTTTTCGTTTTGGATCGAGCGCCAGGCCGCGGGCCTTCTTATTTATTGCGAAACGATTGGGTAACGTGAATTTCTCCTCGGGTACGTGAAGCTATACGTTAATATTTCGTTTATGTAACCGTTCCGCACTGCTCAGACACTTGCTACAGCAGGAGGTGTTGCCGGTAAACTTTCACGAAAACACTCGCGAGAAGAGATAAAGCTACCTAACAAAACCAGAATCTTCTCTAAATAGATCTCTTACAATCATTTCAATTATCTTCAATTTTAACCTATACAAAAATAAGCTTACATAATTTATACAAAAAAAAGTTATTTCAAAATGAAAGGAAGAAAGTAGAAAATACTGTTATAAAGAAAGATGTGATCTTTCGTATAAAGTTATTGTTATGTGATGATTTAGTTCCTTTTGGTATCAGGTTACAATTTATCCCATCAACTCAAAACAATTTAATATCGGAACTAATTAGTGAATGATTATTCAAGTGAAATAATAGATTGCGTAAACGAAAATAAGGAAAAAAAAGGTAAAAGTTTCTTTTCTGAATTTTTCCGGATTACGTAATCGATTCTGGTTTAAATTTTATTGCGTTTAAGTTACAAAAACGATTTGAAACGATAATTTCACCTTTACTGGTACAATGCAACTTTATTCATAAAATTTATTCATTAAATCATTGTTTTCAACGTAGTCTTTAGATTTCAAAGCGTTGCAAAACGTGTTTCAGCGTAGACAGAATCTAGCATAAGTTAGAAATTTATTACAGTAAATAAAAACATTTTGTTTGAATTAAGATGAAGTAATAGCCGAGAATATCTTAGACTTGAATGCTTGCATATTGTTCTTCTTTTGCTTCTTCTACTTATTTTTGGACTGTTGTTCTATTGCACTTGTGTTCAAGTCTCTTATAGTCTTACTCAGGAAAGTTTACAATGTTTTCATTTCGGCAACTCTTAGGTTAGCTGGTATGTTCGCTTTGACCAAACGATTTCTCTGAAGCATCCTGATAGAAATGTCACTTTATTGATTGAGTTTCATAAGTCTTTTGATGGGTCACGACTGCTGAATATATCCAATCCAAGATACTTTAATTGACTCAGTTATTCGATGGGTTTGTTCTATCACAAGTTTGCATCTAATTAGTTCTCTGGAGATTGTCAAGACTTTTATTTTATCGATAAAACTGTAGGAAGTCAACAACTGAACATGATATATGTTTAGTTGTTGACTTTCTTGATAGAATTTGAAGAGCTCTTTGCTCTTTGCTTGCGTAGCATATCATACTGACTTTATCCTTACTCATTCTATAGCCCAAATTAAATGACATTATGTTATTATTAGTATTTCAAATCTTGTAAGGTATGTTGTCATGGATGTCGACAACATACCATAGCTATTTCTTAATTTCCTCACTTTTTCTTTTAGCTCTTCTTCATCAATGGCTCCACACACCGTTATCGGTGCCTGGCTTCTTTCAATTTTTGCCTCCGAGCCTCTCTGTCTATGTACTAGTGGTGGAACGGATATCTGGTATCCGACCTATCCGGCAATTTTTTAAAATCCGGCCGTGTACCGGATAGTTATCAAATATCCGGCTTTGGCCGGATATTAAAAGCCTATTATTTAGTACTCCACCATTCACAGGAATTAGTATCCCTTTTAGGTGTTGGACACTGCAGATAATAATCAAGTTCAACCCCAATAGGGCTTTTTTAATTGAATACAACTTTATTTATATTAGGTTTGTCTTTAGTAACCTCATTGTAACAATCCTAATACGATATATAAAATCTCTTGTTGCAGTTTCGTCTAGTTTCCTTCTCTTCGCTTGTAATTCATCATCGCATTCATTACTAACAGAACTGTCGCTGTTATCACTTTCGATTATTAATTAAAGTATCCTCTTCTTAATGCAAGAAGCCGTTTTGAAAAATCACATTTAGTTTTTGAGAAATAAATTTTTGAAATAATTCACAATTTTTTCGAATTTTGCAATTTTCGCCGATTAAGTTTTAAAAATTCGTATAAAATCCATTTCTTGGAATATGAGTATGGAAATTTCCCAAAGTGTTAATAAGAGTGTCCACATCGTTTAGCTGTCAGTAGATTTATTCTACATTCCTTATTGTTCCGCTTAAGATGTTAATGTCCTGCAAAGGACCCTAACCCTACTGATTTTTTGATCAGTTGATTCTATCGTCGTATTTGCATTGCTCGTATGGCATGTTCCCCTTGTTTTAGTCCTTGAGTAATATTGAAAGTTTTTGTTGGCTGCTCTTGTATGCATAGGTAGCATTGTGTATTACTTAATGTAGTTCGTATCATACTTATAATCTTCGCTGGTATATCAGGATGATATACAAATACTCCCTGGTAACGAAAATCTACAAATATATCTGCTTAATCGTACATAGGAAATCCTACTTGATACTGTCCTATTATTTTTCCTTCATACACCTGTGGTTCAGTAAGTATGCAACATTTTATATCTATTACTCAAGAGAGATATTCCACGGTAATTTTTACACTTATTTCACTTTGATGGTATCACATCCTCCTCCCATGTCTTTTGGAGTATGTTGGGTAACCTATTGACCAAAACATCCCCTCCGTTTTTTTAACTTCCACGATTACCTCAATGGTATTCCTTATTTCACCTATACCTGGTGGTGTAATTGAGGATTCATTGTAGGGTTCTTCTTCTTGTTGTTGCCATTGCTGATTACCTTTGGTATTTTTCATGTTCAGAAGGTTTTTAAATTAACCTATCCAAGTACTATTTATTTCCTCGATATCACTTAAAATCCTTCCTGTTTTGTCTCTACAGAGTTTCGTATGGGGTTTGTAATATATATTCGCTTTTCTTGTATTGTTATCCTTTTCCATGTTCAGAAGTTATATACGTTCCAATGTTGCGTCTACAAATTCTGTCAAGACTCTCTTCATCTCCTTAAATGTATTTTCTTTCTCCCTCTCTCTCTCTGTCTCTCGTGTGCATCTCTTTCCATTCCGTTCTCCATCGAGATATTGTGTCCCATCCTACTCGTAATCCTCTATTTCTTCCTTCATCTTCCCCAGTACAATTGATCCATTCAATCTTTATAGAATAAGTTTCTCCTGCTCATGGATATTCTGTTCCCATAAATCCGATCTTCGCGTTTAGATCGCCGATTATTATCTTGAAGTAGCATTTTAAGCAACTCAAAAGAAAAAGATTATCCGCCCTTTGTTAGGTCAGCCATCCCTATATTGGCCATTAAAGCCGGTATAGCTCATTAGGCAATCTTTTTGTTTGGGATATCGATCGAGTTATGGTTCGTTCCAAATAAGTCATCAAAAATGGACAACTCTTATTCGTTCACCGTTTCTAGAGTATTTGCCTACCACAAGATGTGTAGACAAATGTAATTCTTTTACAATGTCAATTTAGTAACCTTTGTCAATGGAGTGTGAGTCATGTTTGTTATAACTCCACTACATAGTTTTTTTATCTTTACCGGCTATATTTGTCAGATGGAGTCAACAGCTTTTTCTATATCCAGCAATGTAATTGTCTGCTGTTTTGTAGGCCAGTTCTAACATGAGATATTCACGACTGGTTTAGATTTTTTGAATCCAAATTGATTATTCTGAAGTATACCATACTCTTTGACTATTTCCTGCTTTCTGATCTGCATCACTATCGTAGAGACCACTCCTTAGACGTAAGGTACTCCTTGCTTTATTTCGGCTTTCTGAATCAAAGCTTTCTTTTCGTCAATTTTTTCTCTGTTTACTTTTTTAAGTATCCTTGATATTTGCCGGGTATTTAGGGCAACATTTGTATCTCTTTGAGCATTCAAATATTGAATACTTACCTCTATATTTCATCCATTTATATTGGTCTGGTCCTAACTCTCTCTTTTTGAAAAATATTTTTGCTGTATTAATATTATTTGTTTCAGGATAATTTGTTTCCATTGGTTGACTAGAACATGATTTTTTTTCTTCAAAGCCTGATTAGTCTTTGAACTACAAAATGTTTGCCATGGTCTTCTTCAATTACTTTAATGATAGACTCTTTTAATCTGTAGAAGAATTTTGGGCCATCAATCCTGATCCCTTTAGTCCAACAACTGCTCGTTTCTTTCGAGATCGCAACGACACTCAAAAGTGGTCTTTCTGTTTTTTAATTCCTTCAGTGCGTATATAGTGATATCATCTATACGTCCTCTTGTTGTGGGTACCTAGTGTTGTCGTAGCTTTTATTCCTATGATCTCGAGTTTAGCATTTCTGATACTCTTGTTCAGACTGTCAGAAATAGAATCTTCGAATTGTGAGTACTATCTGGACCAATTTATGGTCTTTAGACTTCGTCGACTACGTTACTTTCTTTGTACGTTCTAATTTGCTGGAGCAGGACACTTATTGCTTAATGGCGGTGTAATAAATCTTGTTTTTTTTTTCTTCAGTACATCATTTGTATTCCTTTTCTTATTATTCTTTGATGTTTACCGGGTACTTATGGAAATTTCTAAATGTTGCTTGGTACGGTGTAGTCGTCGTACAGATTGAAGAGTTTCTTGTTTTCGGACAATCAAATGATGAGTGTTTATCACCACATTTCGCGCATCTATATATCTATATGATGTTAGTATTTTATCTTTTTGATAAAATACTTTTAAAAAACGTTGTGACGAATATGATAAGTAATTTTATGAAAATAACTAGTTAGCTTTATTGCATAAAATGACTATTCCGCAATATTGCAATGTTAAAACACAAAGATTTTCGTAAAACTTGGGATTATTCATTATCATGATGACATTTACGCAAGCGTAAAATCGACAGTATTTTACAATACTCTCGCAATTGCAATTGCAATTCAAATCGCAATGTAATTGAATCATATCAGTTAAGTTGAAACAGAATAGTTTAGATATGAAAAGAGTATGTAACATACATAGTGAGTTATAAATTTGTTCTAATAAGGAAGCGCACTAGTAACAAAATGGAAGTGGGGCTTAGTTTTGTCGTTCACACTGTACAGTATTATTACAGAAAGCGACTTCGCTTTGCAGTCTTTAGTTAGAGTGGCGCTGATACTTCGGCTCGGTGCGTTGGTGAAAGACCCAGAACGCTTCGGTTTTCGAACCATTCAACTTCTTCGGGCTTAGCAAGAGTTTAATTGAGCAGTGGTGTTCTAGTCGGTTCGAGTGTTCAAAAATATTATCATAAACATTGATGGTTGTTAAAAAATAAAAAAAAGATTTTAAAGTGAGTTTTCAGTTTTGAATTTTTTGGAGCTTTTTTGGATTAAGTCCTTCATTTAAACAAAAAAGTAAGTTTAAAAGGATAGATTAAAATTTAATGATCCTACGTTAAGAATCGAGTGCATTAAAATTTTCCCAACGTAGTTAATGTAAAGAAATACGTACAAGGATTGGTTAATGTTCTGAACCACCCTGAATATCAATAAGTTTCGTAATAGGTTACGTAAAATGTTAGTTACGTATAATGACGAAAGAAATAACCCTCTCAAATTTCTAATTATACCATTCGTTTAACGTATTTTGTAAGTGAAAATTGGTGGAAGCTGAAACTAATATTACCTAGGAATTTATTGCAAAGTTGAAAGTGTCCGATAATAATTATGAAGTAATAATTTCAGGTTTTTTGTTGCTTTAAGTTTGAGTTCTTAGAAAGCTTATATTTTATTACAATCCAAGTAATTTTTTTTTTCTCAAAAACGTTTAAGAAAATAACTAAAGCTTTGAATGTTTTGTAACTATTTAGAAAAAATTTCCCCCCTTTCTATTCTATTTCGTTGTAAATAAAAATATAATGCTTTCTATAGAAACGGAAAAGAATCTGTAGAAAGAATCTCCAGGTAGATATCCAAACTGGGCAGGTGTTGTGTTTTGTAATAATACGGAACAGGTAGAAGAAGGTCTACTTACTGAATCGTAAAGCTGGCTCAGATTTTTATGCCTGATTTCGTAAATAAACGAGTCAAGACAGTTTTACTACATAAATAAATTATTCTTAATCACGATTTTAATATTTATGTTAAGTTTCTTTCTTTGATGATTTTGTTGTTGATCATAAATGTTTAGACATTTTCTTTACCTACCTTAATATTTTTTTGAAGTGATTTTATAAAAATATTTAACTTAAAAAATTATAAAAATATTGGTACTTCTGTAATTATTTTTTTAATTTTCCATGTTATTGCTTTTTAAATTAATTCTTTGTTCCAAATTAAATTTTGTAACCCATTTTTTAAAAAAACTTTTAAAAATACTGCACAGATTGAGTAACATAATTACAAAATATAAAAAAAAATATAAAATAAAAATTGTCTGAAATAAAAAGTAAAACAATAAACGTTTAAATACTTATTTAGAATTGTTGTGTGAAAATCGACCTAAAAGCAATTTTCGCAATTCAATTTATTTATTTATGACTTCCTTAAACACTAATTTCAATACCCATTGTAACTTTACACTTACGTATGTAGTCCCAAAAAAGTTTTGCTAGGTATTAACTTGAATGACTAACATTACTAGTGATTAATCATCGAGATTTAAGCGGAACAAATTATTGTATAGTAGCTCATAACGAAAGTTCTGTGTCAAATAATTTTTCACTTTCTCTGTAAATTGGTTACAAAACACTAACGAGTATAATTAAACCGGAAATGAGCTCAAATTTGGAATGGATATGAATTATGTTGAGTGGAATCAAATTTTTATATAAATACAGTCAATTCCGCTTAATTGCAGAAAGACCGGTTAATCGGGACAAACAATATCCATCGAAATGATTTTGTTAAAAAGATTGTAATTTATCAGCCATGGTACAATGTGCAATGACATCATTCGTCGTATTTTTATGGTCTTTAAGTAGCAATGTCACTTTCGACTGAATCAGCGCTTAAGCGATGCTCTCGATAGCCGTTTTATCCGTTCAATAACATAGGAAAGTGCACTCAGAATTGTCTAAGAAAGCGACTGCTGGCGATTATTATGCTATATAACGTGGTCGGAGAATATATCAGTAAAATTACGATTGACGAAGTAAAATACCGAAAAAAGATTTAAGTCTCTCAAACAAAATTGGTTTGATGGACAAAATTAAAAGGTAGGCTTCGTAATCTCGCAGAAATTACTGTTATATCAAAGTCTACTTGCACGTCTTTCTTCGAACCTGTGTCAAAAATAGACGGAACAGAAAGATTGCATAACGTTATTCAAAAGAAATAGTGATGGAAAAGATTCAGTTTTCCGTAGTTAGTGGACGAGGTATAAAGAAATCGGAAGAGATTGCGAAATACTACAATACAGCGAATTTAAAGCAACAGATGGATGGTTATCTCGATGCAAATCAAGTCACAACATTAAATTTAAGAAAGGACACGGTGAAAAGGGGTGCGCTGATATTGAAAGCGCAGAATGTTGGAAATACGAAAATTCCAACTTTTTTAAAAGATTTCTGTGCAGTATTATCGATTCCTATTATGGGTTCTTGGACGGATCCATTTGTTATTTACATATTACATTGTCCCATTAAAGCAAAGTTTGTGTCTTTTTTTGAGAAATCTTTATTTCTATAGAAAACTTGAGAATTCACTACTACTTTGTGTTGTCTTTTGTCATAATGACGATTTTTTGTCTGCTGATGTCACGGTAATTTTTAATCAATGTTAGTGTGACTAAAAATTTGAAAATTTTGTCCATTTATTAGCAAAACATGATTTCCTGATTATCTGTATAGATTGGAAATTCTATCTTGGTCGGTAAAGGTCAAATACGCCGTACGGACCTTATTTCTCTGTTATATTTTACGGAGTGCTTATCATATACAGTGCTCAACAAAAGTATTCGCGTATGCATATTATATGGGATGTTGGGACCATGGGTCAATTAGTTAAAAGATCTACCACTTTATTCAATGAAACTGAGGCGCCTCAATATAATGATAAGTTTTAGATTAATATAATGTTAATTACAGAGCCTCGGCCGCAGGCAACCTCGGCTTAATTAGTCAACAGATGTACAACATCATCTGATAAAGGTGCCACAATATGATGACCAGTTTTAGAATTATATAAAGTTAATCATAGAATCTGGGCGTAAGTGACTTAATTAGTCAAAAGATTTACAATATCCTATAATAAAGCCGTGGCGCTAAAATATGATGACTAGTTTTAAGTTAATATAAAATTATCGCAATCTCGGCTTAATTATTTAAAGCATATATACAATTTCACCTGATATGTACAGTGTGTTAATTAATTATCGTACCCGACGTCATCAATGTAAGTATGCAACCAATATCACAGTATTGGTATAGCAATACGCGATTTGCGTATTGGGTTGCATACTTGCAATGATGATGTTGGGTACGATAATTAATTAACACAGTGTACATCTGAGAAGCTGTAATATTTCGATGTAAGTACTAAGTTTTTGGCGAATGATGTACCGATGGTCCTTTATGTCACGATTTCACCTATCTCACTTCAATGATTTACTATCGTACTTCTTCTTTTCTCAAAGTTTACAAACGCTTTTTTTCAAAAATATAGACATAAACTTAAACCACAATCAAGTCTGCTACCAAAAAGTAAAGACCAGTATTATTGTACATAAATATTTTTAATACTATAACTTAATATGAACCTGAAGGAATTATAAATAGTAATTCGTATAAAATTGATTCAATGATCATCGTAATATTAATTAAAATAGAAAGAATTAAATAAAATTCGTGTAACGATGATAGAATTATTTATTTATATTATTCAGTGCTTATTACAGTATTCGACCATATAGTGGTCTTCCTCAGGCACACCTACAATAACAAAAAATGTATTAGAAGGAACATAGAACAATCCAGAAATTACCCTAAATATTATGATCTAAAATAGAAAAGTAAAGAACGTAAGTTACCGTCAAAGCGTAATTTAGATATTAAATGACATCAATTTCTTTAGGATGAATGATTTTGATTCAAAGTTGTTTTAAAAATCAATAAAAAAGGAATATAAAATGGGCAATTATACAAATAGCTTATGTACTTACAATAATTATCCGTTAAAGAACATTTAAAAATCAATACGATGTATGTCGGAAAGTAAAATAAACGGCAATGTTAACATATTAAAAACATGCAAAAATCACGAACTTAACAACAAAATATAACAAATCGAAAAAGAGTACTCTTCACACAAAAGGACGAGATAGATTGGTTTCGATAAAGAATTATTGAAGAGAGAAGAAAGGCGATATCTCATTCTAGAAAGCGGAAACATGTTGCATCTATTCTATAACTTAAATTCTATTTCTCATCTATATCTATAAATATGAAATATCTGTCAATAAATTATATGAAAAAATCACTTATTGCATGTATTTGATGAAAAATCTATAATTATTAATATCTGCTAGGTCGTTCATAAGACAATTATTGCTATATATTATTCATTCTATATTCTTAATTCTATATATTATTATATATTATTGCTATTAGTGCTATATAAGACAGACTGGAAGAAGCTAGATTCTCGATCATTCTTCATTCTTCTATCATCGTTACACGAATTTTATTTAATTCTTTCTAATTTAATTAATGTAAATAGTAAGTTCATGAAATAACATAAATAAAGTTGTGATTTCTCTAAATTGGCACAATTTTCACAAATTAAAAATGCGTGCTCTAAGCACAATGTGATATTGCATCGCATGCAGCCATAAATTAATGAGTTCTTTCAAAAAGACACGCCATTTAAAGTTGACATTTTGCATATTGGCTTGATATATAACTTGAGTGTTTACTTCTGTTGTATTAAAAAATGAGAGAAACAAAGTCGTCGAAAGGCTGTTTCTTGCTACGCTGTAATCAGCAGATAATTCGTTCAAGGTATCGACGCCATAATTTAACCAAAATTATTAAAACTGGTAATTTCTAGAAATTTCTTATCACCGGATTCTTTTACTATAGCTACTATATCATAATGATCTCAAGTAGAAAATAAAATGAAATTTTTCGACATTTTTGTAATTCTGTCTTCTTTGAAAGCAAACATTGAATTGTATGTATAGAAAATGGTATTTGCCGCATATTTTTCCTGATTGTTCCAACCGATGTGAGCGGATGTTTTTTGAATAGATTGATCATTAGAGGATAACTGATAAACTAAATTATCGAATGTGATATTGCCGTTTTTCCAGATATTGGCACAATCACACGTTCAACTATACCAGTGGTGTCCATAACGTCGATCGCGATCTACTGGTCGATCGCGATCTACTGGTCGATCGCAAAGCAGTTTTGAGT